GGCTGGAGGGAGGAGGCACCCGAGGCAGAACGCGCAGAGGAGGGCACCGGTGGGGCTGAGGCGGGGTGCCCAGCAGGGACAGAGCCCACGGGTCGCCGGGGATGGGCATGGACTGCAGGGGGGAGAGCACAGACCCTCTGATCAAGGTGGGCACCTCAAACTAAAGGGCCTTTGGATCTTCTGGATGGGAGCGTGACTTGGGGCTCACGGAGGGGGTTAGGACTTTGGAAGGGAGATGTGGTTGGGGGCCAAAAAGGGCAGGGGATGAACTGGAAGGCTGGGGACAAGGATTGCGGGTTGGATGTCGGTGGCCACCTCAGCCTCCTGGCCAGAGAGTTGGAGAGTGAAGGCTTAGAGTCCAAGCTACGCTGGGTTTGGGCTGGGTGTGTGCTGGGAAGCTGTGTGTGCATAAGCCTGGTCGTGCTGTGTGTGGGGTGTACTCAGCGCTGGACAGGGTGTGCTCATGGGGGCTGTTTTGCATGGCCGTGGGCAGTGAGAGTCAGAGGCCTTGGTGTGTTGGGGGGAGGCTGTGTCCCAGCACAGAGAAGGTGCCTACGTCACCACTGCACCCAGCTCACATGCAAACAGCATCACGCCACACGCTTAGCCTGACACAGACATGCTGGGGGCACACCTACTCACAGACAGGCTGTGGGAAGCACCCCACAGTGGAGGCCCTAGTGTGGACCCATGTTGCAGGCCACTCCCAAGAAGAGGGGTCTCCTATGCTACTCCTCCAGCCGTTCTCTCCTTTGACCACCACAAGGTCCCACAGGCCCCCCAGGCCAGCTGCACTGAAGGAAAGTGACTGGTTGAGAAATCCACAGGGAGTTTGGCGTGTGCAGGGGTTGGAAGCTGAAACTGCTGCCTTTTAAACTAATGTTCACTCCCTAGTAACATGAGGTGTGGGAGTCGGCTGGGGCTAGACCACCCTGGCATTTGGCTTGGGGGGCAGTCTGGGTTGGGGTGCTTTCAGCTTTCCTGGGGCTGGGAGCCCTCAGAGTATGTTCTCATTGGCCGAGGAAGGAAGTGACAGTGAGTTCCCATTCCGGGGACTCAGTTTCCCCATGTGCTCTGTGTGGTTTTAGGCTGTAAAACAGGCCCAAAGCATGGCCGTTTGGGAAAAGGAGAGCTTCTTGAAATACTGTTTTCCATTCCCTCCAGAGCTGTTTCTCCCACCAAGGATCTGAGCAGGATGACCTCTTAACAATAACAACAAAGATATTAGCAGTTGCCATTAATTGTGCATCAATCACATATGAGGATACCCTGTGCTAATGGCTTTTCCTTCATTAAACACGTGGTACTGTGTTCTTCCCCATGGATACTTGCTTAAAGCATTGCTGCAGAAGTGGCAAAGCTGGGCCCGGGTCCAAGTACTCCGTTCCAGAGCCTGTGTTCTTGGTCATTACACCCCACTGCCCTCTCCCTCAATTCTGTCTTCTCCCCCATATGGGAGGGAGGGCTCTGGCTCTGGCATTGGGGTACCTGATGCACCTTCCTCCAGGATTGACCCACACTGCCCTGATTTGTTTTTCCCTCCCCAGGCTTTGTACAGCTCCATCAAGAATGAAAAATTGCAATGGGCCATGTGAGTTCTGGGGCTGTGTGGTGGGGTAGAGATGTGGGTGTGGGGAAGAGTCTGCCTGGAGAGGTGGAGAGAGCTGAGGTGGGCCCTGGGAGTCTTGGGGGTGTGAGGCAGGGGAGGTGGGTGAGGCCATGAGAGGCAGTAAAGTTGCCTCACTTCCTTCTTTGGAGATGCTTGCCTGGACTTGGAGTTCTGTGTCTTGTCTCTAGCTGGGTTGTTATGACAAGCTGGGTTGGGGTAAGTAGCCATTGTCAGCTGGCCTAGGAGGAGGGTTGCAGAAGGGGAGGTCCCTTGGCAATCCTAGTGGGAAAACAGAAGTCTCTGGAGGTAGGGCCCCTTGGCCAATAGCATGAGAGACCCCTCTTGGGTCCTAGGGAGCCCTAAGTGTCACAGAACAAGGGCCCACATTGTCTACTGGTATAGTCCCAGTGGAAACAGAGACTCAGAAGAAGTCTTGGAGACTTCCTGAAGAGCCCATCTGAGAGAGAAGGCCCCGTTTTAGCCTTGGGCCCCCCAGTCTGAGGGTAGAGCCCCCATCTAAACAGTCAACAGATCACGTATTTTCTAGTATCTGCTAAGAGTCCAGCCACTGCTCAGTTTAGATGGGAGTTCCCAGCAGGTGGGAGAGAAGACCTCAGGAGGCAGAGCTTAGGACTGGGGTACAGGGAAAGCTTCTTGGAGGATTGGGACTTGGGGGGCAAGACTTGAAAGGGGAAACATTTGTTTGGGAAGAGAAAAAGGGAAGTTGACATTTGGGCGGCAAATATGTGATGTCTGAAGTGATGTATGGGGTGGGGAGACTAAGGAGACAGGCCTGATTGGAATGTGGAAGGAGAGAGTGTTGGTAGGGATGTATTATAGGCTCCATGTGGGTGGCAATAGGGAGCTTGCAGGTTGAGCTCCGAGTGACGGACAGAATCACTTGTCAGATGATACCTGACAGAGCCTGCAGATAGGGATGTAGCAGGGGACCACTAGGAAGCAGCTACTTCTGACACCATTTTGCCAACAAGCTGTGAGCTGGTGGTGGGTGTGGTTGAGACAGCTGAGTCAGACATATGTCTGTCCTGGTAGAGAAGGCTATGAGGGGTGTGTGTGTGTGTGTGTGTGTGTGTGTGCGCGCGCAGAAATGGAGAAGATGGGGTTGGCTACGTGTGAGGGGAGGAAGGAACAGACCTGGGGGCTGTAATCTGAGGAGCCATTCTGCCTCTTGGAGCCCTGATCTGAGTGGGGAGACCTGGTTTGAGGTGGGAACTATGATTCCAGGTGCCTCAGGCTGAGGGGAGCCACACCCTTTGAGAGCAGCAGCTCCCCCAGCCCTTCTGTCTACAAACACTAGAGGGGCTTTCCTGGGTGAGCAGGGGCCAGGATTGAAAGGGGAGGGTGTGGCTTCATAGCCAGCCCTCTCTGAGGTGATCACACCTGCAGAGACGAGGAGGAGCTGAGACGCTCTCTGTCTGAGTTGGCCGACCCCAACCCCAAGGTCATCAAGAGGGTCAGCGGGGGCAGTGGCAGCGGCTCCAGCCCTTTCCTGGACCTGACTCCCGAGCCTGGGGCCGCGGTCTACAAGCACGGGGCCCTGGTGCGAAAGGTGCACGCAGACCCCGACTGCAGGAAGAGTACGTGGCCTGGTGCGAGGGTCTGGGGGAATGGAAGGGAGCGGGCCTGTCCCAGGCCTCCCGTGACCTGTTTCCCTTCCCCCCAGCACCTCGGGGCAAACGGGGCTGGAAGAGCTTCCATGGGATCCTCAAGGGCATGATCCTCTACCTGCAGAAGGTGCGGGGCCAGCCCAAGGGGTGGGGGCTGGGCTGGGCCAGGCTGGGACTGTGGCCAGGACAAGATGGGCTTCCTGCAGGAGGAGTACCAGCCTGGGAAGGCCCTATCGGAGGCAGAGCTTAAGAATGCCATCAGCATCCACCACGCATTGGCCACACGCGCCAGGGACTACAGCAAGAGGCCCCACGTCTTCTACCTGCGCACAGCTGACTGGCGGGTCTTCCTCTTCCAGGCTTCGTGAGTGCCTTCCTCCTGCCCATCCCAGGCCGCTTCTCTCCATTCCCAGCTTGCTCCCCTCCCTTGTTCCTGGATGGATTCTTTCCTCCGCAGGCCACATCCTGAGCCAGGACTAGCCCTCCTGAGTAGGAATCCTGGGCTCAGGTCCCAAGTAGCTGTGCTTTCTCCTCAGGAGCCTGGAGCAGATGCAGTCCTGGATCACTCGCATCAATGTGGTGGCCGCCATGTTCTCTGCACCCCCCTTCCCAGCTGCTGTTAGTTCCCAGAAGAAGTTCAGCCGCCCTCTGCTGCCCAGCGCTGCCACCCGCCTCTCCCAGGTACTCCCAGCTCTGTCCCCCTGGCCAGTGGGATGGAGTAGGGCAGGCTCAGGCCAACTGCAGTCAAGACTGCTGGCTATGATTAGGACACTGGTCATGGGGTGGTGGGGGCGAATGGGCTGAAACCCAGCGGCCACTCTACTTGCCAGGCTGTGAATCCAGACATAGTCGTTTGTTCATCCTGAGAAAGGGGCACCTTTTAAATAAACTTGCACAAAGGCACTGTGTGTGCTAGAGTAACCCTGACCGTGTTCCCTCTGCCTCTAGGAGGAGCAAGTGCGGACCCATGAGGCCAAGCTGAAGGCCATGGCAAGTGAGTTGCAGGAGCACCAGGCTGCCCTACTGGGCAAGAAGGCCCGGGGCAAGGAGGCTGAGGAGCAGCGGCAGAAGGAGGCCTACCTGGAGTTTGAGGTGAGCCTCCCGGCCCTGGGCACCTGTGTGCCACCTGTCTCCATTAGCAGGTCAGGCTAGTGGTTCAGGGCATGGACTCCTAAGGGTGGGACCGGGTCTTGCTTATTAATCCCTCTCAGCTTTAGTTTCCCCTTCTGTGGGACAGGGAGACTATTCTGTACTCACTAGGATAATGAGTGAGATGTCTGTCAAGTGCTGTTTTCCCGACTCTGGTAAAGGCTCAAGAAACATTGGCTCTTACAATTGGCAATCTTGAGAGCCCATAGAGGGCCACCAACCTACTGGGGATCATGTCACATCCTTGGGGGTTCAGAGTGGGCAAGAACCTGCCATCTCCTAACCTTCTTAGGTATCCCTCCTTGGTCCAGACGGGGTAGAGATGGGGTGGGATGGGCAGAGGGTGGAGAGTTGGCTCACAGCCTCTGCCCCTCTGCCTCAGAAATCCCGCTATGGCACATATGCAGCACTGCTTCGGGTCAAGCTGAAGGCGGGCAGTGAAGAGCTGGACGTGGTAGAGGCAGCACTGGCCCAAGCTGGCAGCACAGAGGATGGAGTCCTCCCACCTCACTCCAGTCCCTCCCTGCAGCCCAATGTCTCCAGCCAGCCCCGGGCTCAATGTCATGGCTCAGAGCCTCGGGCAGGGGCAGGCAGTGGGCGTCGGAAGCCCTGAGTTGGGGGTGAGAGTGGGAGGGGGTGCCCCCTGGGCACCTGCATGACATGGCCCTGCCCGAGCCCGGGCCGGCCTCGGGCA